GTGGCGTCAGAGTCATCGGGGATTATGAAAGATCAAGGGATCCAGTAGTTGTCGTCCTCGTTGATCCCTTGCTCCTGCAAATTGGTCGAGGCCGGTATCTGTGGTTTCTATTTGGCCTCCTGCTTTTCCTTTGAACCCGATCCCCTCGTTGATGAGAATGTCGATGCTTGTATCACTTCATCGACTGCAAATATCTCCTTAGCGGCGGTTTGCTCCCCGTACACTATTTTGACTCCCTCCAATGTCGGGAACTTCAGAACTTGGTGATTGACATCTTGGTGTATTTGAATACGGGTCCCTGAGGAATATCGACCCCTCCAAAAATCATGTGGATCACGTGTTGCGGCTCTTCTTGCTCATTTTGTTTGTTTGAATATCTGTTCTTGAAGTGATTTTTAGCCCGATCGCTTAAGAATGCTCGAAGATGCCCTTCGTTGAACAAACGGGCTACCTCCTCCCTCAACTATCTGCAATCTTTTGTTCTATAACCATGAGTGCCATGATATTTGCACATTTGATTAGGATTTCTCTAGGCTGGATCAGTCTGTATAGGTCGGGGCCACCTGGTGTCTTTGATGGTCCCTATGGCCGATACAATAGCTTAGGCATCAACGTTAAAGTTGTATTCCGTTAGTCGTGGTGCTTCTTTGGGTTCGACATTTTTGTCGAAACTACTCTTAATCATGAGCCCTCGAGAGCTCTGTCCTTGATCATTTCTTCTGTCAATTCGAACGGTGTTACGTCCAGGCCCGTTATTTCTCTGATCTCCACTGTATGGCTGATATCGATTTTTGTTTAACCGTGGTTCCCAATCAATATCCTTTTTAATTCTGTCGATGGTCATGTTTGGATAAACGGACCCGGAAAGAGCCCTCAACTAGTCATCCTCTACCCTAATCTTTGACTGGTACCGATTATGTACATCGGCCCAAGTTACAGCTGGATATTCGATCAAGTTCTGCTTTAACTGTTGTGAGGCTACCGAACTTCGTATGTTTAGGCCTTGAGTGAAAGCTTGAACGGGCCCATTGTCTGTGACCGGTGGTAGATCCATTCGTTCCATTTGAAAACGAGATACAAATTCTCTTAGCATCTCGTTCTCTTTTTGCCTTACCTTGAAAAGGTCCGACTTCTTAGTTTCGACCTTTATGGCTCCGACGTGTGCTTTTACAAAAGAATTTGCAAGCACGACAAAAGAGTCGATAGAGTTAGGTGGTAAATTATGATACCATATCATTGCTCCCTTTGACAGGGTCTCCCCGAATTTCTTTATTAATACAAATTCAATCTCATCATCCTCTAGATCGTTCCCTTAAATGGCACACGTGTAAGAGGTAACACACTTGTTGGGGTCGGTCGTTCTATTATATTTAGGAATCTCGGGCATGCGAAATTTCTTGGGGATTGATTTGGGCGTTGCGCTCGGGGGGAAAGGTTTTTGTACGGAATTTTTGGAATCCAAACCCTTCAATATTGGTGGTTCCTCCGGGATATGATCAACCCTGGAGTTATAAGTTTCTACTTTCTTATCGTTTGCCTCAATCCTCTTTTCTCCTAACTCTATCTGTTTTGTCAGTTCCTCAAGCATCTTTATAATTTCGAGGTTAGTCCCCGATTCTTGTTCATTTGACCTTACTACAGCTCGCCCCGTTCTGTGGATGACTTCTTTGGGTGGACCGGACTCACGCCTGCTTGGTGCCTGGGTTTGGCTCTGCAATCGAGCTATCGCTACCTGTTGAGCTTGCAATATTTCGAAAATCATACGCAGGTTGATCTCGTTTTCTCCAATATTTTGGGTATTTTGAACTGCATATTGAGTTCCACCATGAATATTTTTTTCAGGGCCGGAATGTTGGTTAACTTCAATGGACACATGTGAGTTAACGTCAATTGGATCCATAGCCCGAGTCCCAACGGGGTCAGCAGGTGGCCTTTTGTCCCCGGGCGCCACTTTGTTATTCTCATCTTGATTACCATATTCGTAGTCAATATGTAGGGGCACTAATTGAAAGTTCGTCATTTTTAACCCGAAATCAAAGATACTTCCAAGAGCAAGTGCGAAATAGTGTGTTTTACAAAGATTTGTATCAAGTAACCACTATTATCCTTGGCCCCACGGTGGGCGCCAAACTGTTTTACCCAAAAAATAGATAGGCAATTAAATTTATACGTAGTTCTAAGGATACGTGGTATAACTTGGTATAAATTGGGAAAGATAAATAAGTGAATATCTAAATTAGCTGTAAAAGAGATGAATGCAAACCAAATGGATTAGTTAGCCAAAGCCTTCTAGTTTTATCACTTTCAAATTCAATGAAGAGCAACTAATAGAAGAACAATATGGCTAAAAATCTGAAAATAGAAGAAAGATAGTTGTTGCCTTTTATTCTATGGATCTCAATGAATCTCCATGAGTCTGTATCCATCCTTCTTCTACTAATGGTAACAACCCTTAATATAGTGGGGAAATCATTGTAAAAAATACATAGTGGGGATTCCATGATAGATTAATTAATTAGTTTCTCCTTGATTTGCGTCGTGATTTCTGTCGAAATTCTCTCCCAATTGCGGCTATAACAACTTTTTTGTTTTTTTGCTCGATCTTGATCGGTCTCTGGATCTCGAAATTGGTCTTGGCCGATATCGATCTTGATCGGTCTCTGGGGCTCGAGCTCGACAACCTAACTTCGCATCATGGCCCGATATAACAATGATGAACCTCGGACTATTACGTTTCAATCTTGATTAGTCATACGAAGGGCAAACTCGGATTTTGACCGTATACACAACTTTAATTCTTGAAAATAGTAAAGGTAGTAAAGAAAATTAATCTGCCCTAAATTTATGTGAAATGTTTTAAGAATATGTTAAAGTACATAATTGTAATTATCAAGACACTAGGGACTGGGCTATCTCTTGAGACTAATGTTTGTTTTCGAAATTTTCCAGGCCTCCGGTTGGGTCGCTTTTTCCCCCAAAGCTTTGTGAAATAAAAAGGGCAAAAGTGAAAAGATAGACCAACTCGAGCTATTAACTAATTCTATTTGAAACTCGTGTGTAGCTACATGCTTCACTTTTTCATTCTATGGAATTTCTTTTGAACGTGGGGCTCTGAGTTTGCGTGGTAAGAAAATTAGCATGATTTGCACGTAAGAGTTTCCAGGCACCAATCATTTAGTGCGAGATGGAGTAATATTCTGCGACCGAGTGTCTTGGCCACCAAGTATTTCAGGAACATATTAAAAAATACTACTACGTAATCTGGAAACGAGGGTTCATTTTTTAATTCTATTGAATTTCTTTTGTATGTCGGGCTTTGGCTTTTTCACATTATACATTGGTCATGATCTGGACTCTGCACGTTCCAATATTCATTAATCATTTAGTGCCAGATAATGTATATACTATATTCTACTAAGTATGTGCCTTGACCACGAAGTATGTGGTGGAAACATCTTAGGCTAGCTTTACCACCCTTCTTCAGTCCTAAATTAAACTTAATCATACAGGTCATGAGTTCGTGGTGGAATAGACAAAATTTATTACCCTCAATCAAAAGTCATGAGTACGAGTCTTGAAATTTAAAAAAATTCAGATAGAAAAATGCTAAGGTCGGGGCTTCCATGAAAATACCAGACATCAAGTGAAAAATCAAAAAAAATAAGTCATTCTAATATTAAATCCAAACATGTAACGATTTCCAAAACTTCTTAGCCTATATCTTAAACTTAATTTTTTTTATACTAAATCCAACATGCATGTAATGGTTGTTGATCTCTTCTTTTAGTTTAAAATAATTGATCTCTTGTTTCAATATTACAAGTGGATTGAATATAAAATTCAAGTATAGCTACATATGGTAATTTTTTAAATGTATAGCTACAAATGATAAATATTGTGCATATGTTTGCTGTGTTGCATAATTTATCACAAAATATTTTGGGCACTTTGCAAAATTAACATATATACCTTGGTTTCTCAACATATCACTATACTGTTTTTTTCTTTTAATTTTCATTTTAGGACTACTGAATTTAACTTTTACTTAGGGGTCGTTCGGCTGAAGGTAATAGAAAAATTGATTCCTTACCCAAAATTTTGCATAAGTTAATACAGTATTTGACTGGCTAAATTGGTAAAAATAATCGCTGGAATTGGACCATAATGTACCACTTGAATTTACAATAAAAGAGGTAATAAAGCTTGGCTATGAAGTTTCCACTCTAATGCTTGGCTAATACTGTATGCTAGGGGTGTTCAAAACCGAACCGAAATCGAAAACCGAACCGCAAAAATGGCTTAATGGCTTATTGGTATCGGGTTAACGGCTTAATGGATGGGGAACGGATTGAAATATTTTTATTAACGGCTTATCGGTTTGGGGACGGATTATTCAATTTTCTTAACGGATAATCCGTTAACCCGTTAAGAATATATATATAATATGTATATAAAATAAGTAATAAAAATCTCTTTCTTATCGTGGGCCGTGGCATTATACAAGCAAAAGTGTTAAAACTTAAAAGTGTTTCTTTGCTGTCCACTTGTCCAGTACCCTTCTTTATCAATACTGCAAAAGTTTTAAAACTTAAAGTGTTTCTTTACAGTTGTCCACTTGTCCAATACCCTTCTTTATCAATACTCTATTAGGCATTCAGATTTGAGACATTAGAAAAAGAAACCCTAACATCTAAAAGTGCTAATTTCAGTATTACACCCAGGCCCCAGCAGCCAGAGCAGCATACTCACTGTCTCCCTCTCGCTAACTCGACTCTCTATCTCGCCTCTCCCTCTCGCCAACTCGCTAACTCGTCGTCTCGCCTCTCCCTGTCGCCATAGCTAGAGCCCAGAGCAGCAGATGGTAAGTTTCTTTTCTTGTTGAAATTCCAACTGTTGCCTTGTGCTGTTTTGAGATCGATTTTGACAGTTTCTGTTTAAATATCTGTTAAGGAAATAGTTATTTTTATTTCTTTTCTTTTCTTGTTGTAGTGACTCATAGCATGGCTGAAAATATACAAAGTGATAAGATGATGGGTGAAAGTGGGGCTTCTAATTCAAATGCAATAAGCCAATCTGAAACAACGGAGTCAAATATAATCAAAAAAAGGAAAAAAAGGTCTATTGTGTGGGATCATTTTACAGAAATTATTACTTCTGAAGGGAGTACAAAAGCAAAATGTGACTATTGCTTTATTGAGTATTATTTTAAGACCAAAGACGGTACGTCGACACTTCTTTCTCATATGTTTAAATGTCCTAAACGCCCTGCTATTGTTGATAAAAAACAATCAAATTTAGGTTTTCAATCTGTTCCGGGAGGTTGTCAGGGTGACATAGCTGTTGTTACTTGGAAATTTGATCAAGAAGAGTGTAGGAAGGCGTTATGTCGTATGGTAATAGTTGATGAGCTTCCTTTCAGCTTTGTTGAGAAAGAAGGTTTTAGAGACTTTATGAAAGTTGCGAAACCTTATTTTCGGATCCCTTCCCGTAGTACTGTAACTAGGGATTGTTTTGATCTTTTTAATGAAGAAAAGTAAAAGTTGAAGAGGTCTTTTATAGAAACGAAACAAAGAGTATATATTACCACTGATACCTGGACTTCTATACAAAGAATTAATTATATGTGTATCACTGCTCATTGGATTGATAGTGAATGGAATATGCATAAAAGAATAATTAATTTTTTGTCCTATTGTTAGTCATAAAGGAGAAGATATGGCAAATGGTATTCGTAGGTGCTTACGTGAGTGGGGGATAAATAAGATCTTCACTGTCATAGTTGATAATGCAAGCTCCAATGATGTGACAGTAAAAGAATTGTCTAAGAAATTAACAAAAATGGGAACTAATTTGATGAACGGTAATCACCTTCACGTGAGATGTATGGCTCACATCATGAATCTTGTGGTCCAGGATGGTTTAAAAGAATCTTCAGTGTCTATTGAACGTGTTAGGCATGCAGTGAGATATGTTAGGCAGTCTCCTGCGAGGTTGAAGAGGTTTCAAGAATGTTTTGATGATGAACAACTCAATTGTAAAAAAACTTTATGCTTGGATGTTCCAACTAGGTGGAATTCCACCTACTTGATGTTGCGTAGGGCTGTTGAATTTGAAAGTATATTTTCACACTATGCATCTAGTGAAATTGGCCTAAGACATTATCTTAAGCATTCTTATATTGAAGTTGGAATTCCTACAGATGAACTTTTGAGCAGTGATTGGGAGAATGTAAAAAGAATTACAAAGTTTCTTAAAATCTTCTATCTTCTTACTTTGAAAATATCTGGATCACGTTATGTTACATCGAATATTCATTTTCTTGAAATTTGTGCGGTTGCTGTTTATTTGAAGCAATTGATAGCAAATGAAGATACAGTTTTAAGTGAAATGGCAAAGAAGATGAAGGAAAAGTTTAATAAGTATTGGGGTGATCCAGGAAAAATGAACAAGATAATTTTCATCGCATGTATTTTGGATCCACGTTACAAGCTCGAATCAGTTAGTTATGCACTTGTAAAGATGTTTGGTGAAGATCCGGGGACAACTATACAAGCAGAAGTGAAGAAGTACATGACTTCATTATTTTGTGAGTATGTAAAGTCCAGCTCAAAAGGTGTCGTGCTTGCTTCATCTTCAGATTGTTCTTCATTGGACACTTCTACTTCCGGGCTTTCTGACAATCAAGTAAGCACCCAAAATACAGGACTTTTAGAATCACTAATGCAAGATATAAAAAAATATAAAAGTGGGAGTGGAGGTGTGGATACTAAAACAGAGTTAGATAAATATTTTGGTGAAGAAACTGAGGATGACTCTAAAGAATTTGATGTTCTTCTCTGGTGAAAATTGAACTAAGCTAGATTTCCTGTTCTTGCGGAGATGGCTCGTGATGTATTAGCGGTTCCGGTTTCAAGCGTGGCATCCGAATGTACGTTTAGTACGGGAGGACGTCTTCTTGATTCATTTAGGAGTTCATTAACTCCTAAATTGGTGCAAGCTCTAGTGTGTCTTCAAGATTGGCTTCGAAATAAAAAATTAAAACAACATGTTAGTGTTGAGGAAGATATTGATAAAATCGAGCAGCTTGAACAAGGTAATAATATTGTTACTATATTTGTTGTATATAAGTGTTGTGGATATGCTTATATTTATCACATGACTCATTATTTTAATTTGTTTTCTTCAGATTTAGCTAACGATGGAAAAGACCCTTCCGTAATTGACGTGTAGTATTAATATATCTGGTAAGAATTCAAATTGTAATGCAATGTTAATTAATATGTTAATATATTAACAACAAAAAAGGTAATAAAGCTTGGCTATGAAGTTTCCACTCTAATGCTTGCCTAACACTGTATGCTACTCGGTAAATGAAAACAAGAAGCATGTTAGTTCCACACGAGTCTTTCGAAAGTGCCGGACTTTAGTACTAATTTATTTATTTAATAGCTGTAGTTTTCACTTTAATACTAAATTAATAGCTGGAGTTTGACACTTGGACTATTTTTGACTTTATTATAGTCTTTTTCTCGAGAGTTGTTGGAGAAAAGCGATCCCCAACGAAAGTCTAGGGAAACATCCAACAAATATTACACATTATCTTTTTGTTTTTTTGTTAACATATACTAACCCCAATCCCCACACTAACCCAAACCCTTGAACGTTTTTTAATATATTAAACTAAATTAGAAACATGAAAACAGGGTAATTAACATACTACAATTGGCTCAATTTATATTGATAGCGTGAAAAGCCGTAAAAACGGTAAGCATATATATAAAACTTAAATTTGGAAAATTAACATTTAATTTGATACAACAACTTTGTATATGGATAAAATCGAGCTCCATGCTTGGTCGAGCATCTGGAACAGTAGACCAGGCTCGCCACATCTACAAGAGATCGAAGTTACAAATGAAACCGAGCTCGATATCGAGGTTCGAAGTTCGACAAGACCATCAGATTTGCCCTCGAGTTTACCGAGGGCACGACCGATCCTGCTTCTAACGGCCTCGAAGAAAAGTTTCACCAGCTCATCCGACAAGGATCCGTGACTCTCACCATTAACCAATCATTATGGCAGAAATTACGGAATTAAGTCAAAAAAGGAGCCAACGGTCTACATAATTTCTTATAAAATAATGTCTTAAAAGCTTATCTTCCCAAATATATAGAGGGAACTTAATAATTGAGGGGACACATTATAACATACTTCAAAGAGCAGCATACCATTTTTTCATCTTTGTTCATATTATTCTGGCTTCAATAACAACACATCTAGATTCGAAGAAAGTTAACCATACGAGGCTTAAGTTGTTCAATCTGCATGGTTTGTATTTATTTGTTCTTCCATATTAAATCTGATTTCTAGCTTTGTATCAAATTAGATCACGTATCCTTAAAATCGCGTATAAATTTAATTGTTTGAGGGTAAACAGTTTGGCGCCCACCGTGGGGCTAAGGATTATAATTGTTATTTGATACAAATATCCATAACACACACTACTTTACACTTTCTCTTTGAAGTGTCTTTGATTTCAGGCTAAAAATGATAAACTCTCAATTAACACCTCTACATATCGACAACGAAGCCGGTCATCAAGGTGAGAATAACAACATGGCGCCCACTAATGCGGGGCCACTCGCTGATGCCGTTGGAATTCAAACTGCGGATTCAATTGATGTAAATTCACATGTGGCCATCGACGCAAACTTGCCTACCGACCCTGAAAATAACGTTTGTAGTGGAGCCCGATCGGCAGCTCCAAACACACAAAACATTGAAGAAGACGAGATCATCCTACGCATGATCTTCGAAATGCTGCAAGCTCAACAGGAGGTGATAGCCCAGTTGCAGAGCCAAACTCAAGCACCGAGCAGGGTTGAACCCGATCAACCCCAAGAAGTCACCCGCATATCGGAACCGGCTGTGGTAAGGTCGAATGAACAAGAGTTAGGGACTAACCCCGAAATTATAAAAATACTCGAGGAGCTGACAAAGAGGATAGAGTCAGGGGGGAAAAAAGATCGAAGCGAACGATAAAAAAGTCAAAACCTATAATTCTAGGGTAGATCAAATCCCAGGAGCGCCCCTGATATTGAAGGGACTGGATTCCAAGAAGTTCGTGCAAAAACCTTTTCCTCCAAGCGCGGCCCAAAAATGATCCCCAAGAAATTTCGGGCATACAAAATTTCTAAGTACAATGGAACGACCAATCTAAATGAGCATGTAACCTCTTATACATGTACCATCAAAGGGAACGACTTGGAAGACGACGAAATCGAATCTGTTTTGCTGAAACCATTTAGGGAGACCCTGTCAAAGGGAGCCATGATATGGTATCACAACTTACCTCTTATTTTTATTGACTCATTTGCTATCCTTGCAGACTCTTTCGTAAAAGCACATGCCGGTGCCATCAAGGTCGAAACCAGAAAATCAGACATTTTCAAAGTCAAACAGAAGGAGAGCGAGATGCTCAGGGAATTCATGTCCCTTTTTCAAATGGAACGAATGGATCTGATGATTGGGTTGTTTAGGCTTTCACTTAGGGACTCAATATTCGAAGCTCGATGTCTTCGCAGCAATTAAAGCAAAACCTGATAGAATACCTTGTCGTTACTTGGGCCATGTACACAATCGATATCAATCGATAATTAGAGTCGAAGATGATCAACTCGAGGTACCTTTGGAGTCTATATATTCCTCCAGGACTCTCGATAGAGCCAAGAGAGAAATCGATCGTGAACCAGGATCAAACAGAGATCGATATCGGCCATATAATGGAGATTGGAGAAATAGTGGGTCCGGGCGAAACCCTATAAGAAACGAAAGAAGAAATGACCAAGGTCGAAACAACCGGGGGCTAATGACGAAAAAAGGTTTTGACAGGCCCAACGGGCCTAAAGAAGCGTCGAGGCTATCAGAGTACAACTTTAATATCGACGCAGCTGCCATCGTATCAGCCATCGGGCGAAACAAGGATACCAAATAGCCTCGGGCTCTGCAATCTGATCCATCTCAAAGAGAATTGAACCAGGTATGCAAGTATCATGGAACTCACGGTCATAGAACGGAAGACTGTCGACAACTGAGAGAAGAAGTAGACCGACTATTCAACAATGGGCACCTTCGAGAGTTCTTGAGTGACCGGGCCAAGAATCATTTCAGGAACATAGATTATAACAGACAGATGGAATAAGAAGATACGAACCTCAACACGTAATTAATATGATCATCGGTGGAGTCGACATCCCACATGATCCCATGTTGAAATGCACCAGAATCTCCATCACTAGGGAGAAACGAACTCGAGACTACATACCGGAAGGGGTCTTATACTTCAGCGATGATGATGAGAAAGGGATCATACAACCTCACAATGATGCGATGGTAATATCTCTACTCGTAAATAAAACTAGAATTAAACGTTTGTTAATTGATCCAGGTAGCTTGGCCAACATTATTCGGTCAAAGGTCATAGAACAGCTCGGTCTACAAGACAAGATTGTTCCAGCAGTCTGAGTCCTAAACGGG